TAATTTTTTAACAGCAGTTAGTAGATACGTCATTAAATTATTTAGTATACAAATATTTGACAAACTGTTCATTGTTAATTTTTTTTAAATATTTTATTGTTGTAATGTGATGCAGGTGCACAGTGAATCACTTTTAAGTGTCCTACAGTGAAACATGGTTCATTGTGTACCTTTATAGGTCATTGTGTACCTTTGTAGAAAATAATGGTATTAAAATTGTATTTTCTTTACAGGATGGGTTGCGTTAAAAAACAAGACAGAAAAGAAGGTGAACACACGGCCGAACGCATGGAAGAAGGTCTAAGATTAATATCAAATGGCAAGAGCATACGATCAGCCGCTAAAGAAATAAATTTGACATATTCAACTCTGCGAAGGTATGCCCAGAAAAAAAAAGAAGGTAGAAATACACCCATATGTTTAGTCCCTAACTATGAAGTAAATAAGATCTTCAGTTATGACCAAGAACTTTCTTTAAAGAAATATATAACCACCTGCGCACTTATGTTTTATGGCTTAACGACCGTTGATGTGAGGAAAGTTGCTTTTCAAATGACTACTTTGAATAATATTAAGATACCCAGTTGCTGGCAGAAAGAAAAGATGGCTGGTAAAGAATAGCTACGGAGTTTTAGGAAAAGGCATGTTGACATATCACTAAGGAAACCAGAACCATGCAGCCTTGCTCGTGCTACATCTTTCAATCAAGCAAACGTATAACGGTTTTTCGACAATTTGTACAATGTTCTGCAGCGAAATAAAAAATTTGCTGATGGTACACGCATATTCAACTTGAATGAGACAGCAACAACTACTGTACAAAAACCACACAAGGTATTGGCACCAACTGGTGGTAAAAAATGTTTGGGTAAAGTTACTAGCGGCGAAAGAGAAGTTCTTGTCACGACATGTTGCTTTATATCTGGTGGTGGTTTTGCTTTAACTCCAGCAATCATATTTCCGCGAGAAAACTATAAAGATTTTATGCTGAAAGGAGTTCCGACTGGTTCAATGAGTCTTGCCACTTCAACAGGATGGATGAACACAGAATTATTTGTGGATATGTCGCTTATTAAATATGCCATACGGGAGTGAAGACGATTTATCACAATTCATGAATAATTCAGATGATGAAATGATTAAAATTTCAGATGAAGTTTTATTTTAAAAACTTGATGAAGTTCAACTTTGAATAGAAGATTACACTTCAGAGGTTCCGGCTGACTTGGCTAGCAGTTCAAAAGTTTCAAATTGTTTTCCTAGCACTTCGAAAGTTCCAGCTGACGTTCCTAGCACGTCAAAAATTCCAGCTGATTTCCCTAGCACTTCTAAGTTCTCAGATGCGATTTCTGACGATGCTGCATCAAAAATTTCTGCAAAACAAAAATCGAATATTTCCCCAAAATCACGTATTACTCCAAACTCAATTCCTTCAAAACCAACAATCAATAGAAAGAAAGCATTAGAGGAGAAAATTCGTTGGAGAAAAGGGTCTTTAATAATTTTAGACGATCATAAAAAATTTAAAGGAAATTCAAGTATTCCGAATGATTTGTTGCAGTTACAGTATCCATATAATTTTTTTAAATACTTTTTTGATGATGATTTGATGAACCTAATAGTACAACAGTCCATATTATATTCAGTACAAAAAGACCCTAATAAACCATCAACACTTTTCCCAAATTCGTTACTAAAATACATAGGACTTCTTATATTTTCATCTGTGGCACGTGTTTCGTGTATAAGAGATCTCTGGAACCCGATCTTGGGTAACGATATGGTGAAAACAACTATGAGAATCAACAAGTTTGAAGCCATTCGTTTTGTTCTTCATTTCAACGATAACACAAACAATTTAAGAGCTAATAATCCTGCTAGAGATAAACTGTTCAAATTGCGTCCTATCATAGACCATGTGAATAATAAATTTTCTAGTGTACCCAGTTGATGAACAAAGTTGTGCAACTAAAATAAAACATTCGTTACGACAATACAATCCTCGAAAACCCAAAAAATAAGGCTACAAATTATTTGTTTTATGTTTACACAAGTTTGAAATCTACTCAGGACAAGAAAACAATTATTGATGGAGTTACAGATATAGAAGTAAACCCTAATATTGTTATTCGTATACCGTATATTTTGACAATTATTATACCTCCCTCCCACTCATGGCTGAGCTAAAGAAGAAGGATATTTTTGCATTGGGGACAATACGAAAAGATCGCATCCCAAACAACCTCGTTACTGATGACAAAAGTATGAAAAAAAGTGCAAGGGGGACTGTAGAAGAATTTGTAACAGAATATCATGGTTGTCCAATTTCTCTTGTTCATTGGAACGATAAAACAGTCTTAAGTGTTTGGCACAATATTCAGATGTGTCCGAAATAAAAATTATGAAATTCTACAACAGACACATGGGTGGTGTAGATTTGATGGATGCTCAAATTGGGCGACAAAAAATAACTATAAAAAGTAAAAAATTGTATTTTCGTTTATTTTACCATTTGCTTGATTTGTGCATTGTCAATGCTTGGGTTCTTTTTAACAGAATAAACAGCATAAATGGCAAAACAACAATGTCTCAGAAACAATTTCGAATAGATTTAGCATATTCCCTGTGTAAAATTGGAAGGAGTGACACTCCCAGACTTGGTCGACGTGACAGCGCTTAAATTAGAAGAAGATCTGCTACCCCTAGACCAACAACAGTTGTTCGTACTGATGGAATTTAGTATTGGCCACAATTTGAAGAAAAAAGAAATATATACAAATATGATAGCTGTAAAGCATTGACCAATGTCATCTGCAGGAAATGTAGACTGAATTTTTATATAATCAAAAACAGAAACTGTTTTTTTGAGTTCCATCGTGGAAACTAAGAGATTATTTCGCAGTGTTATTTAAAACATAAATAAATTTTGAATAGTACTTTGTTGAGTTTTTAGTCCCATATTTATGTTCCCTCGAAGCAGAATGTATCATATTTGATAACATTTTTTTTTTAATTTAATTTTGACAAAAATGTAATTAGAATGTTTTAAACAATTTTTTCTGTTTAAAAGTAGTGTCAGATCAGCTACTCTGAATTTTTAAATTTTTTTTGCGATTTTCTAAAATTCATGCAGTTAAGGTGTACCGTAAAAACTCAATTCCTGAAAAGTAGGAAGTATCGGCAACGGCGCTTTCTAAACAAATCGATCAACTTGGTCGATATGAAAGACACGGGTCAGAAATTATGATTCATTCATGGCGTACCATGCATCTTAGACACTGTAACATGATACTTGATATTTTATCTATTTGTTATAGTGTGTTTAAGCTCTATTGATTTTGGGTGTGGGTCAGGTTATTAAATAACTCGAATTATTTTGAAAAAGAAGTTGGGCACCACTATATTTAAAACTTACTATACTTTTTTTTAGATTAGTGATAAAAATATAGAAAATCACTAACCACTAACAAATCATATTTAAACCAAGTTTTAGATAAGGTAGAAGCAAATTCCAATTCACATAGTTTTACTAAATATTCTTTTTAAAATAATATCAAAATTATTTTTTATTTTCCTCTAATTTTGTCAAAAAAATGCAAACGTTTTAAAAACAATGACGTTTTTAACAATTGTTTAAAAAACAATTACTTTAACAAATTAAGAATGATCTTTATTATATGATCCATTTAATTCTCAATTTTGTTTTTGTCAATAAAGAACTAAATTATTAAAAATTAATTTTTTCAGTCGCAGAATCAATTCCAGTAATTGGAACACGCTCACGAACAACAACTAAATCAACGTTTGAAATAACAAATATACCAACTACTGAATCAATAAATCAATTAACTGATAAAATAACTGACACATCAACCGAACCGTCAACGGAAACATCAGTTGGAACTTCAACCGAAACCTCTATTGAAACATCTACTGAAACGTCAACTGAAACATCAACTGAAACATCAACTGAAACGTCAACTGAAACATCAAGTGAAACACCAACTGAGACATCAACTGAAACATCAACTGAACCGTCAACAGAAACATCAGCTGAAACTTCAACCGAAACCTCTATTGAAACATCTACTGAAACATCGACTGACACATCAACTGAAACATCAACTGAAACATCAACTGAGACATCAACTGAAACGTCAACTGAACCGTCAACGGAAACTTCAACCGAAACCTCTATTGAAACATCTACAGAAACGTCGACTGAAACATCAACCGAAACCTCTACTGAAACATCTACTGAAACGTCGACTGAAACATCAACTGAAACATTAACTCCAACGTCAACTGAAACATCAACTGAGACATCAACTGAAACATCAACTGAACCGTCAACGGAAACATCAGCTGAAACTTCAACCGAAACCTCTAATGAAACATCTACAGAAACGTCAACTAAAACATCAACCGAAATCTCTACTGACACATCTACTGAAACGTCGACTGAAACATCAACTGAATCATCTACAGAAACGTCGACTGAAACATCAACCGAAACCTCTACTGAAACGTCGACTGAAACATCAACTGAAACATCAACTGAAACATCAACTGAAACATCAACTCCAATGTCAACTGAAACATCAACTGAAACATCAACTGAAACATCAACTGAAACATCAACTGAGACATCAACTGAAACATCAACTGAAACATCAACTGAAACATCAACTGAAACATCAACTGAAACATCAACTGAAACATCAACTGAACCGTCAACGGTAACTTCAACCGAAACCTCTATTGAAACATCTACAGAAACGTCGACTGAAACATCAACCGAAACCTCTACTGACACATCTACTGAAACGTCAACTGAAACATCAACTGAGACATCAACTGAGACATCAACTGAGACATCAACTGAGACATCAACTGAAACATCAACTGAACCGTCAACGGAAACATCAGCTGAAACTTCAACCGAAACCTCTATTGAAACATCTACTGAAACGTCGACTGACACATCAACTGAAACGTCGACTGAAACATCAACTGAAACATCAACTGAAACGTCAACTGAAACATCAACTGAGACATCAACTGAGACATCAACTGAAACATCAACTGAACCGTCAACGGAAACATCAGCTGAAACTTCAACCGAAACCTCTATTGAAACATCTACTAAAACATCGACTGACACATCAACTGAAACATCAACTGAAACATCAACTGAGACATCAACTGAGACATCAACTGAAACGTCAACTGAACCGTCAACGGAAACTTCAACCGAAACCTCTATTGAAACATCTACTGAAACGTCAACTGAAACATCAACCGAAACCTCTACTGACACATCTACTGAAACGTCGACTGAAACATCAACTGAAACATCAACTGAAACATCAACTGAAACATCAACTGAGACATCAACTGAGACATCAACTGAAACGTCAACTGAACCGTCAACGGAAACTTCAACCGAAACCTCTATTGAAACATCTACTGAAACGTCGACTGAAACATCAACCGAAACCTCTACTGACACATCTACTGAAACATCGACTGAAACATCAACTGAAACATCAACTGAAACATCAACTGAACCGTCAACGGAAACTTCAACCGAAACCTCTTTTGAAACATCTACAGAAACGTTTACTGAAACATCAACCGAAACCTCTACTGACACATCTACTGAAACGTCGACTGAAACATCAACTGAAACATCAACTGAAACGTCAACTGAAACATCAACTGAGACATCAACTGAAACATCAACTGAACCGTCAACGGAAACATCAGCTGAAACTTCAACCGAAACCTCTATTGAAACATCTACTGAAACGTCGACTGACACATCAACTGAAACATCAACTGAAACATCAACTGAGACAACAACTGAGACATCAACTGAGACATCAACTGAGACATCAACTGAAACGTCAACTGAACCGGCAACGGAAACTTCAACCGAAACATCTACTGAAACGTCGACTGAAACATCAACCGAAACCTCTACTGACACATCAACTGAAACGTCAACTGAAACATCAACTGAGACATCAACTGAGACATCAACTGAAACATCAACAGAACCGTCAACGGAAACATCAGCTAAAACTTCAACCGAAACCTCCATTGAAACATCTACTGAAACGTCGACTGACACATCAACTGAAACATCAACTGAGACATCAACTGAAACGTCAACTGAACCGTCAACGGAAACTTCAACCGAAACCTCTATTGAAACATCTACTGAAACGTCGACTGAAACATCAACCGAAACCTCTACTGACACATCTGCTGAAACGTCGACTGAAACATCAACTGAAACATCAACTGAAACGTCAACTGAGACATCAACTGAAACATCAACTGAACCGTCAACGGAAACATCAGCTGAAACTTCAACCGAAATCTCTATTGAAACATCTACTGAAACGTCGACTGAAACATCAACCGAAACCTCTACTGACACATCTACTGAAACATCGACTGAAACATCAACTGAAACATCAACTGAGACATCAACTGAGACATCAACTGAAACGTCAACTGAACCGTCAACGGAAACTTCAACCGAAACCTCTATTGAACCATCTACTGAAACGTCGACTGAAACATCAACCGAAACCTCTACTGACACATCTACTGAAACATCGACTGAAACATCAACTGAAACATCAACTGAGACATCAACTGAGACATCAACTGAAACGTCAACTGAACCGTCAACGGAAACTTCAACCGAAACCTCTATTGAACCATCTACTGAAACGTCGACTGAAACATCAACCGAAACCTCTACTGACACATCTACTGAAACGTCGACTGAAACATCAACTGAAACATCAACTGAACCGTCAACGGAAACTTCAACCGAAACCTCTATTGAAACATCTACAGAAACGTCGACTAAAACATCAACCGAAACCTCTACTGACACATCTACTGAAACGTCGACTGAAACATCAACTGAAACATCAACTGAGACATCAACTGAGACATCAACTGAAACATCAACTGAACCGTCAACGGAAACATCAGCTGAAACTTCAACCGAAACCTCTATTGAAACATCTACTGAAACGTCGACTGACACATCAACTGAAACATCAACTGAAACATCAACTGAGACATCAACTGAGACATCAACTGAAACGTCAACTGAACCGTCAACGGAAACTTCAACCGAAACCTCTATTGAAACATCTACAGAACCGTCGACTGAAACATCAACCGAAACCTCTACTGACACATCTACTGAAACGTCGACTGAAACATCAACTGAAACATCAACTGAAACGTCAACTGAAACATCAACTGAGACATCAACTGAGACATCAACTGAGACATCAACTGAAACATCAACTGAACCGTCAACGGAAACATCAGCTGAAACTTTAAAGTAAAACTCTTTACGTTCTAGTTAAAAAAAGTAAAATTTGACAAAATTTGTACATAACAACAAAATATAACGTTTTATTTTATATTAATATTTTTTTTGCTATCTCCTGCTAAGACAAATAAATAAATTATTTAGTGTCCAACAAATTATCAACAGTTTATTTTAATTATAATTTTCTCGAAATGTCATCAATTTAATTAAAAGTAAACATACAGTGGATGTTGATTTTGGTAAAAGTAAGTTGGCCGTGGCTGTGTGGATTAGAAGAACTGTCAATCTCTAAACTTTTAATTAGTACCTACCTTATAACAGAACACGACAAAAGTATACTTAAGTTTAAGATTAGATTCTAAAGCCAATTTAGCATTTTTTTAAACTCAATCAAGTTTGAGAAGGTAAAAAGTTTTACTTTTTAATGTTTGTTTACTTAAATTCAAATTTTATTTGCAGTTTATTATATCTGTCATAATCGATATGGATTCAAATTTATCTAGCGATAGCGAATTTGATAATACTTCCCCAGATATCTTATACAGTGCACAAAAGGCCACTGAAAATTTATTGCCAGAAAAATCTGCATATATTTATCAGCAAAAATACAATGCATTTATAGAATGGTGTAGGAAGAACAAGGTGACAAAATATTCGTTATTTTAGCATATTTCTCTGATGAATTGAAGAATTGCAAAGCTTCTACCCTATGGTCGATTTATTCTATGCTTAAAAGCACCTTAAAATATAAAAACAACGTTGATATTTCGAAATTCAACAAGTTTATAGCGTTTCTCAAACAAAAAAATAAAGGTTATAAACCAAAAAAATCCAAAATTTTTTAACGAGAAGATCTAATTAATTTTCTGTTGAAAGCTCCAAATTCCAAGTTTTTAATGATCAAAGTAAGTAAATGCCTCAGTAAATGCTTGAATGCTCAGTACATTGATAAGGCAACGTAAGGATACGTCATATGTATTATTTTTGATATACAAAAGTGGAACCGGTAGGCATGGCTTTTGCACTCACTAAAATGGCGGAAGAGCAGAACCGGATTTACAAGTTTTTATTGTACTATTTCTGGTTAAGTATCATTATTTGAATTATAAAAAAAAAATTTTCCTTTTTATTGACATTGACTTAAAAGGTGGTGGATGGCCGAGGTTATAAAAGAAGGTAATTTAAAAACTGGAATATGCCCGGTTTTCAGCCAAGAGGTGCTGAATAAAGTAAATAAAAGAAATAAAATATAACTAATTTAATTATCACTCAAGTGGCTATTAAGCGCTGGAGAATATATTATTTGCAAAATTGCAACTAATCAATGACCATGATAAGTAGTAACTTGGGGCCGATTCAACCATTGGGTTTAACAAGTTTAAAATTACATTTTTACATAAAATGTAATTTTTATCTTCAATTAATAGTTTAAACTTTAACACAATGGTAAAATTAACCCTAAAGCGTTGAAATCATTCACAGAAAAAATAAATAGTACATTTTTGGTTCACATAAGCGACAAAAGTAAACAGAGTTCGATTTATTGGATCAGTCGTCACACGTTTGCACATAAATAGCTCAATCTTTAGTTTTTCGTTTTTCTATGAGCCCAAAACAATCTCTGTGTAGGTAGATGCACTATTCAGGAAATCAAAATGTGGATTAATCTTACTTGGTCTTGGTACTTTTGTGGATTCAGACTGAAATGTGTATATCTTCATGCAAGACATTCAGTAAATCAGCGAAGCCACAACCAGCGGTGTGCAGGTGCACTTCTAACAAATGTAAAATATGAAATGATCTTACTTGAGACATATAGATCCATGCACCACAAGCGTGCCGATTCAATTTAATTGATCTATGCACAATAATCATGCATGTATCATTGAAAGTCAGACAAAGAACGTGAAGATAAAGTCGAAGTCTCAATCATAGTTAAAGTCACAGATGAAGTTAAAGTTAACAGCAAAAGAGTTGAAATTGTATGCTGGTGATAAAGGGAGGCCAACATCTAGGTAATAAATATTTATCGAGTTAGGAAAAGTATCCACTGTAAGCGCTTTTCTTGACCACTAAGGTAAAAACCAGAATATTTCCTAACACACAATTTCTTTGCTAGGCAAAATAAGAAATAAATTTGTGAGAGTACTTCCCAAGTGTTTTTACAAAAGCTCTAAGAACAAAATTGACGAAAATGGCCTAATCCAAGTTCAAATTCTAAAATTTGAACATTAAAGATAAGTATCTTACTGTAAAACAAGTAAAACCTCGTTGTTGACTAAATGGTTGAATAATTCATTACCTACGTGGAGGTAGAATAGGGACTAAAGTTTAGCAGAAAAAGCCACTAGAAAAGGTGAACAAAATAGACTGGGGCATATGAACGTCAAGCAAATATTGTAAATGAAAATAATGTGTGCTGTGATTAAATAAAAGTGTACAAGGAATAAAGTTTTAATATTTTCTTATCCATATCTAGGAGTGATATTTATTTTAAATACTAGACAAACGTTATAGTTTTGTTGCTAGTCTCATTAAAAAAAAACTAAGTGATTATTGATGTTAAATATTTATTATTATAAGAACTTATATGCACTATACAAACTTAAATATCATATTCCTGAATTCATTTCAAGCATAAAATGTCCTATGAACAAATATCCAATTCTACATGGTTACCAAGCTACAAGAGTTTAAATATCAAAAGATATATTAACATAGTATGCCATGTGTTCGAATATGTCGAAACACAGCACTGAATGTTTGGTGCCTTGGAACTTGTCGGTATGGAAATCGTCACCGATACTCCATACAAGCAGCTCGCGAATATTCATGACAAAATCATTAAAGGTACACTATTTTGGCATATTATTAATTTAAATTTATCATAAAAAGGAAACGTAGTTGACAAGTGTAGTACTGAGTAGCCAACTGACGTTTATAATTATTGTTGATAAACAGATCAATAATATTTTAATATCAACAAAATTAAATATAATTATGAATTTATAATGTTTAAATGTTAAAGTGTTTTAAAAACTATTTATTAACTGACTTGAAAGTATTTTTTAGTGTTCAAATTCGTACAACAGAAAATACTCTTTTATTTTTGTTGGAGGTATATTATTTATGTATGGGCCAGAGCCCATTAAAACAATACAATAATACAGAATACATATTACAGTAATTAAATATTAATAAAATCCTAAATAATAATAGGTATATTAATTTAAAATATGTACATATTAATTATTAATAATAATGAAAAATCTAAACATAACTACTAAATTCTGTGGGAGAGATATGTTAAGTAGATTAGCAGATATTATCACTCTAGGAATAAAAGAATGAGAAGCATCATCTTAATGCGTTGTTCGATATTAATTTATTCTTGAGGACTTTCCCATACAGCACAAACATATTTCGGAAATATTTCAAAAATATTACATTGAAACATTTGTAATGTATAAATATTACGAAACATCCCAGAAACATTTCTGAAATGTGCCTTAAACGTAAAAATGTCCAGTAAATATATTTCACAGTAAAATTTCTGAAAGAAAAATTTTAAATCTTTTAGAGATATTAAATAGTAATATTTCAGAAATGTATTCTAGATTTTTTTCTCTAAAATATTATTAGACTAAAAAAAAGACATTTATAAATATACATGTCTATTTAAAATACACAAAAGTCAAATATTGATTCTTAAAACATTATTTCATAAAATATAAAGGGGAATCACTTCATTTTCACAATCCTTTAAATGCACTAATCTGAAACAAATAGTTTTTTTTTTTTAATAAATGCCCCAAGTAAAGAAAAATTTACGATTGTTACAATCTTATCATTAAGATCAATTAGAAATTTTATTCTAACTTATCAAGGGATGAAAAACTTCACAAACTGATATTCTACTCTCTAGTATACCTTAGAGTCTAAATCACTTAACTACACTATACTATGCTGTAACATCACTGAACTAACTCAAAAGGCTTGGTATCTTGAGTCTTCTTATTAGATTTGGCATTGTTGAGGAGCTGGATAATCTCGAGGTTTCCATGCTGGAGCAGTTGTTGTTAGTGACTACTGGTAAATTTTTGTATTGTATTTTCAACAATCTCCACTTTAAGGTCCCTATGAAGATCAGTATTGTGGCAGTACCAGGGTGCATTGATGATGTTCCTTAATGCTTTATTCTGGAAACGTTGAATAACTTTGATGTCACTTTTCTGACACATCGCCAAAGTTGGCGAATCACTTCATTTTCACCAATTCCTTTAAACACACTAATCTGAAACAAATTATAGGTAATTAAAAAGGTATATTAATATTGTTTTAAATTAACTATAATAAAACAAACAATACTCATGCATACACAAAACATGAAGCTCTAATTTTCAATCAGCTGTAGAACTAATAAATAAAATTGGTGGAAGGACAGCAAATGTAGGTTATATTTAAATAGAAATAAGAATATAAAATGCCTATAAATTAAATTTGATAAACGAAATGGCGTACGATTAATGTACTTCTCAAAAAAATTCTTAAAACATATACTACTGAATTTAAAAGGTTACCAATTATACTTGTTGACAAAATGTATCCACGCGCTACGTTTTATAGGATTTTTGGAAATCTATAAATATTATTTCGTATGAAAAAGTATTATTCCAAAATAGGTAGGCACAGCAGTTGATAGATGATTTTTTTTTGCATTTTTAAAAACATACTTTTACACATTTTATACAAACCTGTCATAATACTGTCCTGTATAATATTTATAATTTTGATACTAACCTATGAAACGTTATTCCAGTCGATTTTTCACAAAAACGTCTATCGCTATAGCAGAAACGTATAACACAGCAAGGCATTATATACTTTATAAGTTTGTAACACTCAAAATTTGCTCAAACACAAATTAAATTCAAATTTAATCACACAAATAACAGTAAAAATATAACCTATAAAATTTGACAATTTGCACTCACAGTAATGGCGGACCGGTCCCACTTTTCGCTTACGCATGTCGTATCCCTAGGTTGCCAGATCAATGGCTCAGTATAAAATTAAAATATTCTGTAAAGTTTTGCAACGAGATGTGTGTTCGTATGGTGTGTTGCCTAACAAAATCAGTTGCTGTCCTAACAGGCCACCGGGGTTGTTAGGCAGCACATTATAACTAAAACTTTTATATTTTTTAGAATAGCATTTATTTGGAGTTTTACATGCGCAACGTCAAGATATTTCCTAATGTTTAATAAATTATTTGTAACATTACAATATGTTATTTTTTAGGTAGCTTTTATAATTGGAATTGCGGGAGCTTGTCGCCGGGAAGAATTATGTAAAATGACAATTAACGATGTGGAAGATAAACAAACAGTGTATATTGTCAAAATATCAGAAACTAAAAATGGAATAGAACGCATTTTTACGATTTTAAATCCAAATAATTCAGCAGTTGATTATTTATTTTTCATAAAAAAATATACCTCATTAAGACCATCAAATATAAATTGTAACAGATTTTTTTTTAAAATTCGCAAATGGAAAATATTCTAAACAGCCTGTAGGGATAAATACTTTTGGTAAAATGCCAAGTGTTATAGCAACGTATCTAAACTTGCCCAATCCAACGGCTTTTACAGGACACTGCTTTAGGAGGTCTTCAGCCACTATGCTGGCAAATTCTGGAGGAGACCTTCTAACGGTAAAAAAACATGGAGGATGGAAATCATCTGCTGTTGCAGAAGGCTACCTAGACAGCACAATAACACAAAAAAACAAAATTTCTAATAAAATTTTGATGGATGACAGTATGCCATTCACTTCCAAACAAAGCTACAATTTTACCGTTGACAACTCTAATGAAGAATTAGTGGAACCACTCGACAGTGAAACTAGAGTTACACAAAATATTTCAACCTCTTTACTTGAAAAGGCCAAATCCATACCACTTGAAGCTCAAAATAGGGTTCACTAGTAAAAAAAGTAACTTTTATATTTCTAATATTAGTGGATTAGGTGTACGGTAGTAGAAAAAATATTGTATGCCACTCGTGTGTAAAGTCCCTTTTTTGACTCATGTGATCGTCATAAAAGGGTAACTTTACACACTTGTTGCATAAATAACTATTTCGTATTGGTTGACCGATTTTCGCAGAAATAAAATAATAATGAATAGTAAAAATTAAGGTAAATAAGAATTAAAATCATTATCCGTAAACTAATGAGGTTGCCAACTTCGCGACCAGTAAAATCAAGCAATTACACCGAGTATAAATAATATTAAATTCAAAGTTTTAGATTAGAGATGAGAAAGATTTTTAAAGTTATTGTATTTTTTATATGGACACTTTTTTGTTTCAAACACAAGTTAAGTGAAGTCCCGACGATATAAACTTGACCACTCTGTACAATCAAAGATCAAAACTGAATAAAGTAATCCACATGAATGAAACCTTCGGAAAACAATAAATTAAATTAAATAAATAAAATAAAAAACTGAGAATTTAAAAATTGTTGTGACGGCTACTGTGACACCCGGTATATACAGAGTTACATTTATTTAAATAGAAGATATACGTTTATAGTTCCAGAATTATATTTGTATAGTCTTATGAAGGAAATAAAATTTACTATGTTTAAAGTCAACAATTTTTGTTATCAAAAATTTTAAATGTCAGTTTTACTTCTACCGTTTCAAATAAAACAGTTATTTTTGGTAAGTAGATACGCATAATAATATATAATTAAAAAATATTTTAGAAAAAGAAAACTCTTGGTTATCTAGGCCAAGTAAGTGTATTAATAATAAGGACACTAAATACACAAGTTTAACAAGTATTAAAAGTCATTTTAAAAAACCACCATCACTAAATCTTGATCAATTATAGAAATCGGATAAGGTGGTAAAGAATTATCAATAAACATGCATGAAAAAATTAAGAGTTTGAGGATTTTCTTAAGGACTCAATTGTTAGATTTTGACCATGCATATGCGACCAACCCCCTTTCTAACAAAAAAAGAATCATTCAAATCGGACACTTTATTAAAAAAAAATATTCCGATGAATTGAGAACCTCCTCCATTTTTGAAGTCCCTTTGAAATTTGGGTACGTTACAGTTAATTTTTTTACAAACTACCGTAAAGTGTGGTTATTTTGCACAAAATTTTTGTTTTTTGTTAGTATCTATGGTTCTGTTGGGAATTATAAAGCCCACTCTAACTATATGAAAATTTAATACTTTGGCTACATAGTTTTGTAATTAGAAAGAATAAAAAAAATTAGAACCACATTTTTTTAAAAGTTTAAAAAGTTGGCAAAGTTACCTAGACTTTGGGGTTACTTTGTCGACTGGCATTTTTCCATGTTTTTAAGCGTACAGGCCAAGAAAACAGTCTCGAAGGGTTACTTTACCCTCCTTTAATGTGTTTAAAAAATATATTTTAATAAATACAATTCATTTTTACATTAAAAATGTATATTTCTCTTTGTAAGTCAACAAACAACTCTTATAAAATAATAATAATAATAATAATAATAACATTTAGGGAACAAAATAATAAGAACATAATTCTTAACTATTCTAAGTAGGTAGTAAGTCACAAAAGAAACTTAACAAATGCTTCAAAATAAACATTTAAATTTTTACGAAACCTTTATACGAAATTAAAAAAATATCTAGTAGGTGTTGTAAAAATAGACCTGATGACTTTTGTTATATTTGTGGACACTTTATAGTGAAGAAGTTTAAAAGAAACATTACTGATTTCGTAAAAAATGCATAGTTTGCATAATTTAAAGTCAGACTTGGAGATCAAGATAAACCTTGGGCGCCACATGTTATCTGCAAGATTTGCGAAGGAGCCTTGAGGCATTGGTATAAAGGAACAAGAAAAGCCCTACCGTTTGGAATACCAATAGTCTGGAGAGAACCTAAAAATCACATTAACGACTGCTATTTTTGTCTTTGTGATATTAAAGGTCGTAACACAAAATCTCTAAAGTATATTAACTATCCTAATCTTTCGTCTGCAATAAGACCAGTTCCACATGACGCTAATATACCTGTACCACCTAAAGTATTACAGTCTATCGAATCAGAATCTTCAACAGATTCAGAAATTGACATGTTTGAGCCATCAACCTCAGGAACCCGTGAACCGCAGCTATTTTCTCAAGTTAAACTGAATGACTTAGTCAGGGATTTGGGACTTCCAAAAGACCTCTCTGAGGTTTTAGTATCAAGGCTTAAAGAAAAAAAATTTACTTGCCTCAGGTACTACATTTTATTGGTATAGAAATCGTGAGGCTAAATTTCTCAATTACTTTGCCGCAGCGGGTTCACTTGTAAAATAAAAATTCGCCATACATTACCGTCTCGATGATGGTGGGTGAGGTTTTCCGGGTTTTCCTCACCTGTAAGTCAAATGGCACCATCAATCATCTTTAAGTCGCCCCGGAGCGCCACGGCAAATAATAATAATAGCCGTCCCTTCCCCTACACAAGTCGTTCAGTCGACTTCAAGGGTTGAAATTCACTCGTAAGGGGGTGAATTAGGGAGAGTATTATTATTATTATTATATTATTATATTGTTAAAATGTATTTGACTTGGTTATTCACCTAGGTGCTCCTGAATACAATCCTGCCGAGTGTAGACTTTTTATAGACTCTTCAAAGAGAAGTCTTATAGCTGTTCTACTTCTTAATGGTAATTTTTATGCATCTGTTCCTGTTGGTCATTCTACTCAGCTAAAAGAAAATTACGAAAATCTTGAGGTACTGCTTTTAGGAATAAACTACAGACAACATAACTGGATTCTATATGGTGAACTTAAAATTTTAGGGTTGCTTTTACGTCAACAATCCGGATATACGAAATACCCACGTTTCCTATGTGCGTGGGACAGTAGAGCAAGAGATGACCACTGGACCAAAAAAACCGGCCACCAAGGAAAAATTGAACACCTGGCTCCAAAAACGTACTTCGGGAAAGCGTAGTTGATTCCGAGAAAATTTAATTACCACCTCTACATATAAAATTGGGGCTGATGAAACAATTTGTCAAAGCTCTAGACAAAAATGGTGGTTGCTTTAAGTACTTGTGAAACATTTCCGGGTCTCTCTGAAGATAAATTAAAAGAAGGCGTCTTTGTTGGGCCACAAATAAGAAGGTTGATGAAAACTAATGAAATTGAGACGGTTATGCAGGAAGACTAAACAAGTTATAAATAAGTTTCGAGGAAACTACAAAGACTGAATTTGAAAGTATTGTTGAAAACATGTTGGACAAATGAGCTAAGTGTACAGGGTGTCCCAGAAAAACGCACCGAGAGTTCGTACGCGAGGCGTTAAAAGTATCCAGTAATCGTCGTCCTGAAAGAATGTTGCAGTGATTTTTTCTTTTAATTTGACCAACGAACAATGAATGTGATATGATTACATGTCTGTGCAATACAGGGTGTTTTAATTTACATGTCCCTTTCGAAATCGTAGTAAAACAAAAACAGATTTAGGTATGCCGGCCCTTGTTTCGGCATTATATAGCGAATTAGAAAGTGAAAATGTTTTTTTTTTAACTTTCTAGAGGCCAATTTAAGCTTTTGAATTTATCTGAAAACTCTGCTTGTTATAAGTTACAATAAAAAACAATGAATATGCAAGGAAATAGAAGTATTAAATACTTTGGAATATATTAACCTAGGTATAAATGGCCAAATACCACATAAATTTTTTTTTAATTTACTTGATGTAGCCAACATTCACAATTAAAAAGCACAAAATCGTAAAAAAACAATTATTTATTAAATGGAAGAAACAAGAACTGATTTATTATCTTACTTTGTGAGTTAATTAGCGTAGTAACATTTTTTGTCAAGGGGCAAAACTATTATTGGGTAGTGACAATTCTCTTGGAATACTAATCTCTATTAGCGGCGTCTTGGATACATCTAAGTAAGACGTTTGTTGGGTACTTACGTCGTTTTCGTGTCGAGCATAGCCTAGATACCACACTACGCTGGAAATATGTGCGCACATACCCAGTGTTCTAGCCCCAATTTTACAAGTACAATATGTTCCTTGTATTGGGTCGTCCCCATCACGCACAGGAGGCAGCAAGTATGAAATAAAAAGAAAATGCTTTGTGACTTGAGTAAATCGGGAGAATAGCTTTTCTCTAATGAGCCCAGGCTCAAATTCCTGAACTTGAAACAGAAATTCATTATTGGCTTCCCTTTCAATTGTATCCTGAATGTAAGCTGGAGACAGCTTTACCTGATATGTTCCAAATGTTTTTGTTCTAAGATATTCTAACGTTAGAATAGGGAATTGGATGTCATTTTCATTTATATCAACCCATGCACCTCCACCACGCCTAAGTTGCAGATTTTCCATTAGAATCCTATCATGGAGGGGATTATTAGGATTTTGGACTAGCTCTAGCATTCGCTGTGACAGCTCGTCACTCTCATCCTGCATATGAATTGGTTCTCGGAATGCTTTAATAAGAGCGCAACCAATCTTTAAATATTCTGATAACATTTCTTTTCTCGATATTGCTGCATCATTGTTCCTGCTGTCGGAAAAGTAAGGACCGTGAACATCGACTATAAATCCATCAGGAGCTACTATTAGTCCGGCTTTAAATAATGTATACCGCTTATGGGATGAAAAGGATTGTCTTTGAGTTCTAAAATTACAACATTTTGGGGCTTTCAAGTAAGTACAATCCGGAAAGAGAATGGCTTGGGGATTTTGGGGCTGTGGATTGTACAATATATTTGAAAAGCTTGTAACTTGGCGCTCAATAAACTGTCGTCTATCTCTCAATTCTTGACAATGAAATCCTAGATTATTTGGTATAAAGTTTAGGATTAAAGTAGTTCTGACAATGGTAATTGCTAAACTCACAGCCTGGCGGGATGTGTAACTCATAATTACTTTAATAAATTCATCCGATAAGCCCTGCCTTAATTTCATTAAGAATGCAATCATGTCTTTTTTAGTTGGCACACGACTTTTTCCATAAATCACTACCGGTTGGCATGTATTGAATAAAACCGCAAATTGCCGCTTGCTTATAGAGGTCAACTTTTTAAATTCCTCATCCCCAAAATTTTCTTCAGTATCAAAACTACTTGAATTGTAGTCTTTTAATGCCAGAAACCATTCATGTATTTCCCTGCCCGTCATTAGCACATTCATGGGCAATGATATATTATTATTCATGTGCTGAATTTCCACATTTCCCTTAGAATTTAAATGATTAACACAACATGGTGTATGGCTGGGGATGAAAATGTTAGTTTTTGCAAAAAATTCGACACGTGCATCTAACGATAACCTTGTCCGACTGTCATTATTACATACAAAGCAACCTCTATTGCCCGCTAAAACATCCATTGGTATTGCCAATGGATTATCAGACAATTCTATACACCTTTCTACACGCTGAAAACAATGTATACATATTCTGGTATTTTCAATAATTTCTAGATGTGGCAAATGATATATCTGTCTAAAAATAATAGAGATTTCTCTTTGTCGTGGTTCTAAAATTGCTCGGAATCTTTGACCGTTGACGTTGCAAATGTAGCACCTAACCATGATCCTATATAAAATTCAAATAAACTAATATAAGTAACCCCATATTTGTTTTCGAATTACATACTTACAAAGTTAATTAACATAAACTGGCAACACAAAATATATAAAA